TTCAAATAATGGAGTTATATTTTTCTAGTTACTCTAAAGTTACACCAAATTATATATATTGTTATTTATCAGCTGTATTCTCCTTCTTTCATTAATTTTAATCGTCATTATGGTTATTCATAAAAATACTAGATGTCATTTATAGGGCCGCAGCAGAAAATTACATAAAATTTAATTACTTTTGAAATAAAAACGGTTTTAAATCAGATAACAAAAACGTTTTTATACATTTTGCTTTGCTTCATTACACGTCGTCAAGCTTAGTATTATTTACATGTATTGTGACAGTAAGCATTGATAATTACAATAACCGATTGAGTTGGATATACGTATGTGGTGTTTTGATCCAAGACATAAGATAATGTAACACATTGGATCATTTAACAAGCTCGATTAAAAAAGATTTGTCTAAATATACAAAGTACACTATTTCACCGACTAGACATACTACATGTATGAAGCGTAGCATACAGTGTTTGTTGATACATGGAAATGTGATCAGAAATGTGATAAAGTGGATGAGCACGAAATAACCACTCTCTACACTGCATGGTCTGCTTTTATGGGTGTTGCATTATTTATTTATTTCATATATATTTGTATTGTGTGTTGTTGGCACTGTATGTGTATGCACAGCACTGATAAACCGCACAGTTTAAAGTAATTCACACCTGTTGTTTAAATACTTGCTAAAATAGTTTGATATTGACCACGCTTAGTCTGGTTACCTCCGGGGGATTGGCAGCAGCTGAATCATGCTACCATTCCCATAAACATAATGTAAGTAATAAGTACATTTTTTAAAAGTAATTATTACTGATTATTAATAATAAGCATTGTGCAATGGTATTTTTCTGTAATCGGATTCTCGACGCAAGAGAAATTAACATTGATTGGAAATCAGAACAAAAATCATCTCACGGGATGTGTTTTTCACGTTAACTGATTGAGAAAATAAAACATCTTCATCCTGGCTCCGAAACTGAACATTTGGGGGTTGGTGGGGAGCACAAACATAATAAAACAATGGAAAATGGAAAACGACGTGCCCCCTCCCCCTCTTGTTTTTAAACGTTTTTGGTGAATTCAAAGTACTTTTGCTTCATTTTCTTTTTTCTCTCATTTATATCAGTTAATTCTTCAAGGCTAGTCGAAGTCTACGGATAACGACAATGGAACGTGCAAGGGAACGGGCAATGGAACGTGCAATGGAATATTCACGTGTTATGCAATGATCATACGCCATAGTTTGGGGACTTGACTCTGCAATGGCGAGTCACATAAATATGTCGAAATAATGAAAACATGAACATTAAAACAGACATTAAGATCTCGATCCACACCAGACAAATAAAATAACCAAATATTTGTAACAGCTTTAAGATTAAAGGTGACAGCCAACCTGGCTATTTTCTTTGTAATGCATGTACTCAAAACTGTATGGGTACCATGAATAATTCAAAATGGCTGCCTAACTTTTAGGTATGCTGGAATTATTTAAGATTGCCAAACGTAAAAAACTAATGGATAATAAAAAGAAAAATAATGAAAGGGAGGGGGTATATTGGCATATTGGCATGGTATATTGGTATGCTTGATAAAATTAAAGATATTTATTCGAAATAAGTATTACTTATGCATGTTAAACTGGATAATATTTCAGATCAACAAACTTCAAGATGAATAGAACCGCTACCATATTTGGATGTTATATTCAGCAATACCGTCATATCACGACACAGACATATTGTACGGGCGAATGGATGATATCATCGTGTGTGGTATTTATTTCCTTTATTGCAAACGTACAATTGCTTTTTACATGCACTTTATTATTTCTGCAGAAATTTACTGACGATTATACCGTGTTTATTTTCTTATTATTAATTTTTAATTTGCTTACGGAAAAAATACGTAGACAACAGATTTAATAACCTCAAATTACCATAGCGTTCATTTGATATGTGAATAATAATCCAATGTGTTCATAATTATCACGAAAGGCTAATTAGTAATCGGCACGTAAGATATAATTTAAAACAGTGATTCGTAGATATTACATTTCTTTAGTGTACATAATATTTCTTTTCACATATGAAGGGAGGCAACTCCAAGTGGAAATTATCGAATCTGATCGAAAAACAGGAATTATATATTTTATTTTTATATTTTTTAGTTCATGAAGAGGATAAAACTGTCAAAACGTTTGTATCCATCGTATACAAAAGGACATGTTGCCTTGACACATCTCAAAAACAAGCTGACACATCTCAAAAACAAGCTGACACATCTCAAAAACAAGCTGACA